CCAGAGGCCTGGTCTACCCCCATAGAGGACATTTTCTGTAATAAAAGTTGACTTGATTCTGTTTTCTCTTATAATGTTTAAATTATTCTTAAAATATAGTTTAAATATAGTTTAAAAGAATTCATTCTGAGATTTTTACAAGCCTATGGAAATAAACTTCTAAAAAACCAATTTATGCGATAGTCAAATGTAGACTCACTCACAACTTTAATGCTACTAGCTTTTTTCGCTCATGAAGTAGAATTTCTGCTCACAACATTGTGGAGCTTAAAGGGAACATTGGCTGGAGGTGCTCGAGTTGATGACTGTAAAGCATGCAGCCGGTTGCCTAAGGTCTGATGAAATAACCCTTTCCAGCTCAGTCTGTTTTCTGTTTTCTCCTTTTTCAATACAGCTGTGAGCGCAGGTGAGGAGCACAAGCATTGTCTCTTGAAACATGGCTTGGTGCTGCTTGACTGCTGCAAGAGGCAGAGATGGGACCTTCTCATCCCTATGTGCTTTGTTACCACTGGCATGGAACAAAAATTCTACTTTGTGAGCTACTGGCTACTGCATAAATTAGTCGGTTCTGGGGCCCTCCTTCCTGAGCTAAGACAAAAATGTGTGAGCCAGAGGCTAAAAAACTGTGAGCTAGCTCACACTAACTCAGCTTAGAGGGAACACTGGATGGGACCTTCTCGTCCCTATGTGCTTTGTTACCACTGGCATGTTCGGAAGCAGGACATCTAGGCTTGATATAAACCCAGATTTAATCTGAGAACCTGCTTTCAGTGGTTCAGTTCAGACATCACACAAAACCATGGTTAACTTAAATGTGAAACCAGAGTTCAGCTCTCAGACAAATGATTGTTTCAAAGAACAAGCCAGAATGCCTGCACTGATACATCTGTCACAAGAAACCATAGTTAAGCTCCCTCTAAGGTGTGGAGTCTTGTGAGCAGAAATTCTACTTTGTGAGCTACTGGCATTAAAGTTGTGAGAGAGCAATTTGGCTACTGCATAGTCTACTCTGGAACCATCCTTTCTGAGCTAAGACAAAAATGTGTGAGCTGGAGGCTAAAAAACTGTGAGCTAGCTCACACTAACTTAGCTTAGGGGGAACACTGGTTAAGACCAACTTCCAATCTGATGGACCCTAACTAGCCAGCATTAGTGGAGTGGTCTGCATCCAGATAGATAGTACCATAGCCATTGCTAGTTTAGTTATACCATGGTTTTTTGCATCATGTCTAAATGGAGCTCTTCAGGAATGAGTGAAATGCTTTTGAAGGCCTGATTTTATTCACTCAAAATGCATAGTGTGAAGATTTCTTTAAATGTAAGAGTGTACAGCATTAGATAATAATTTCTGAGCACAGTAACACATGAATTTATGACACTGCCTTTTACTGAGCCATAAAATGAGAAACCAAGAGAGAGAACAAAAGAGCAGGAGAGACCACTATTATGATCAGAACTTTTGTCTTATCATGTTGATGGACATAACAACTCTAATTAAAGTCCTGGTTCTGGCACCACTGAACAAATGGTGCTCTTGTAGTTCTGTTGCGCACTTCTTGCATTAGCATGATTCAGGAAGTAACTGCAGATATTATGGAACAGTAACTATTGGGTTTTATGATCCTTGTCTATGTAGATCTCTGTCTAGTATAAATAAGGAAGAAACAAGAAGCTCCTGCCATGACCCTCCTGGAAACCCTCGCAATTAGTGTGTGATCTGCACAACTGTTGTAACTATTCTGTAACAAAAATATTTATGGGTGCTGCTGTTAGAGAGATGTCTGAGCGATTAAAACAGCATAGTGTAATGGTTAAGAGTGGCAGGCTGTAATCTGGAGAGCCGAGTATGAGTCCCCACTCTTCCACATGAAGTCTGCTGGGTGACCTTGGGCCAGTCACATTTCTCTCAGAAATTTCTCAGCCCCACCTACCTCACAAGGTGCCTGTTGGGGGGAGAGGAAGGGAGGCAATTGTAAGCCACTTCATGACTCTTTAAGGTTGAGAAAAGCAGAGTATAAAAACTTCTTCTTCTTC